ACGATGTTTAAGCCTGTCATCATGTATGCTTTAGGCGTCTGAGGACAAGCGGCGAAATACAATATCTCCATTCTGAAGGTATTGCAAAATAAGCTAATGAGGATGATTGTGAATGCTCCTTGGTTTGTGCGGAATGAAGCTATCCGCAGAGATTTGCAGCTGCCTTCCATTCAGCAGTCCATTCAGTCAAGGAATCGGTGAATTTTTGATAGCGCGGAAACTCACGAAAATCCGTTAGTTAGGGAAGCAATAGATTCTACTCTAGACGACCCCTCCCGATATAGAAGACACTATGTCGAATGAGTCCCTCAAGTCCGCCGTTAAAGGACGAATAGATTTTTCATCTATCCCACTCCAGCCAGGTAGGGGTACCCCGTAAAGGGCGGTACTGATGTCTGAGGACTTCATACCGCCAATATCCCCTCAGTCATGACCCCATTTATCCTTCTTCGACAAAAATCAGCTAAAAGGGTAAGAGAGCTAGGCTTCAATCTGAATGAACTCGAAACGACGTGCAGTGCTGACAAGGACCCATTTGTCCTTCTGACAAGCGTCAGTCTTAAGGGTGAGGGAGCTAGGCTCCAACCTGTTCGAAATTAAGATGTCATTTGTAATGTTGACAAACGCCAGTCGAATAGGTAAGGGAGCCAGGCTTCAACCTGTTCGAAATCAAGATGGCTGTCGGAATGCATCCGTGGTCGCCAGCTGCAAGGGTAAGGTATCGAGGCTCCTACCTGTTTTAACTGAAGATGACTATAACATGCATTTGTGGTTCAAACTAGCACTGCTAATGACGGGTGGAACAACAATGAGGATAATCAATGATTTGTTTTTGGTCTTTGGTTTGATCTAGTTGCCTTGCATTGAAAGCTGCATTGAGGGACAGAGAACGAATATTGATCAGCAGCCAATTGCTAAGCTTGGCATTGTAACTAAACGCTTTTGGGAGCCTTATTTATCTTTGATATTCGTGGGTTGAGGTTTTCGTTGTCGTACGTAGTACGTAGTAGTTTTTTGTTTATGGTTTCAATTTCCAACCACTCGACGTATTGAACATATTTCATCAAAATCGAGAGAGGGAATGCCTTTTTCATATACTTATGAATTTTACTGTGTACAGAACAATAATATACATGTACAATATCATGTATAATATCTGTTTTTTTTTTAAATCTGTTTTTCCGTTAATCAGCTGTCGCCCCCATACGAACGACAACTCTCAGAAGTTGAGAAACTTGTGCGAGCTAAGGACTAACGTGTGACAAACGTATGATTCCTAACACGGTTACAGAATCATCCCAGCTTCAACCAGATAAATTCTCTCGAGAAAAATATCTGGTCGAGGCAGGAATCGAACCCACGGTCGGGCGCACTACAACCGTGGCCAATTCCACAACTACATATTCATATATACATGGTACATTGAAATGACAACATTATTTTGATCAGAAAAAAATATTTGGATTCATTAAAGTTTATTAAAAACGAAAGAATTCGAGAAATATTTTGTAGACAACAACTTTAAATTGCTCTGAATTCCAACGTTCTTGTTTTTGAAGAATGATGATATCATATCTTGTTATTGCTTTTTCACCAAATATTGAGTTTTTTTAAATTGCTCTGCATTTTGAATTTCTTGTTTTTGGTCAATGATTATACCATTAGGTTGTTTCAAAAGTTTTGTCCGTTTTATGAGTCTACTTTAAACTGTGATATCACAGTGATATGGCAAAATAACAACCATTTGAATCAGTGCACGTTACAAAAGTCGATTTATTCTGTCAGCATTGAAATTATGTGCTCGGGATTCAATGAAGTTTACGAAGGACGTCTTTGCCTGGTCCTGGTTTGAGAAGGTTCTAACGGTGGGTAAGTATTCGAAGTGCTTGAAAAGATGATAGTCGGTTGGCTTGAAGTCTGGGGAGTATGGTGGGTGAGGCTGAATTAGTTTCCTATTCGGACGGTGATTTGTGAAATGAGCGGTCGGGCGTTGTCGTGGGGCAGGTTTGGACCTCTCCTGTTGACAAGTGCTGGCTGCTGCAGCAATTTTCGGTACATTTCGTCAATTTCCTCACAATAGAACTCTGCTGTGATGGTTATTTGGTCAGTTGCAGAAAGGTATAGTGAAGGGTGGCTCATGGATCTCCAATCAGTGTCCTGAACGTGTCCTAGTGTCGTAGAGAATCCACTTATCATCACACGTGACGATCCAATACGTGACAATTTATGTCGATCGTTCCAATTATGGGGCACCCAATTTTTGAAATTCTTTCCATTGCGTTTCATACTACAAAAACCGCGCATCCTTTGTGATGGGTCAGTCTTTACCAGGGTCTTCAAATACTCGTCCTGTATTACTGTAGGTCGACCACTTCGAGGTTCATCTTCGAAACAAAAATCTCCGGAACGTAATTTCGCAAACCATCATCGAACAGAGCGTTCATTAACACTATTTTTCGGACTGTTTTGGCAGCGCTTGATTCAATTCGTAGATAAAAATTGGCCGAAAATTACCTAACGACATCATATAATGATACACTGAAAAGATAAATCGATCGTTCAGCCTGGGACTTGAACCATCGACCAACACGGCGGTCGATTTTAGTGAGTGAACAAAGCACCCACGTCGAACCGACCGGCTACCGACCGACGCTATTGATTTATTAAGTTACAAAAACTCATGACATCGAAATGGACCAAACAGCTTAATATATCTCGTTATTCAATTTTCCACCAAATATTGAGTTTTTCCTGAACATATAGGAGTCATTAATTTCGATATCTGGGAGCCCCCAATAAGACGAGCAGGGCAATATCTAAAGTTTTTTATCTGCAGGAAAACAACTACATCTTCGGTTAATACCAAGAAGGACATTGATTTATAAAAAATGAAAGTGCTGAGTGGAAAGGCATATCTGGAGCCACGTTAGGCTCCCAAGACAACTGGGAACTACCTACCTTTTCTCGAGACGTTTCGTCGTATTTTTCAGTCATCATAGTTTCGGTGTGGATAATGCTTTGAAATCAAAATTCTCACGACGTGATGTCAATAGAGGACTTATTGGACATACCAAGTTTCAAATGTGATGACAAGCGGTAATACCTGAAACGTATAATTTAGATTTTATTTATATCTGAAAAACACAGATTTCGTCACCCACTGATGAGAATAATAATACTTAGGGTATTTTGAAGTCATGAATACTGAATATTGGTAAGTGAGCTAGAATTAGCACACGATTAACAGAAAAACCAAGAAATCTGTACATTTTCCTTCAATTTTTTGTAATAGGATGGTGAAAGTTTGTATGGAACTTTTGTCAATTTTCAAGCTAGGTACATAGAAATTGGAATTCGAACAATTCGTTCAGCATATTTCCAAATTCACCTCTCAACCCTTCATTATAAGAAAATTTGTTTAGGACTAGTTTAAAGGTCAATAAATTGATTTATTGTTACGTTAGTCGTGTAGACACACCTTAACTCTAAAAACCCTACGTTAGATTCGAAATATGTGACTTGGTCATTTCTTTACTCTTCGTTTGACGTTTTGAAATTTAGGAAATTCCGATAAGTTTCGAGAAATATGAAAAGAACCCAAATTCGCCAATGTCGCTTCGATTTTTTCCTTACGCTTTTTAAGATATTATGAAACGAAATACACTATATCATTGCCACTTTTCAAGCTGTACAAGATGGCTTTTATATATTTTAAATCTGACGTTTCATCTCCGAGAAACCATCAACAACTCAACTATTCACAAGGAGTACCCTATTTGAAATGATAACTTATTATAGGAGAATGAACCTCTTCGTTACCTAACGCGTAACAGCGCCAGTTTGTCTGGCTTCCCTTTCTCTCACGCATACGTCAGCGGAAGGCAGGCTCCTCTCCTCCTTCTCTCTCGTCGGACAGACGATCAGTGTTTAGTATGCGTTAGACATGTATTGTTGAAAGTATTATAAAAATCTAACCAGAGAGCACGTAATACTCTTTCATTATGTGAAACGTGGCTTAAAAATGATGATACTTATTTTGTGTATGTACATCATTGATATCATTATTCAATCTTTCAAAAGTAACATATCGCTTATGTTAGCTATACTATATGTACATACACAAAAGAATCGATTAAATATTTTATTGATAAATAACCTTTCCTTACATTATCATATCAATATACATGATATTTGAGTAATAACATAAGCATTTGTCAAGTTAAACAATTTCAATATTAAATAGTTCAACTTAGATTAGTTAAAGTAATCACTTCTGTTGGGCGTCCTGAGAAGCACATGTTTTTTTCGACAACTTCACTAATGGAATGGACATATTCAGAATTTCTTGAATTTTTAAACATGATACTTCCTTTCCCTCCTTATTTGAGGTATAGTGTATACCGTGATTTTCAGTCATAACTAATATATAAACAAACATTTTTGTGCAAAAACCGGTCTTTTGTAACTTTTGGCATTACACATGAATCTTATATCCCTTTTCTGAATGATGAACACCGTCTGCATTTGAGTTTTGCAACATACTCCCCAGAAAGGAATTCATACCTTAAATGTGACTCAACAAGTGAGAAATGAGCCGATTTAGCGGCAGACAAACCAAGATCCTTATATGTTATTCTCACTGCAAAACACTTCGCGATAAGTTTTATTACATTCGATGTTATTTTATCGAGTCCTGAAGCCTTGTTAATTTTAAATTCATTTATACATTTCATTATTTCATCTTCATTGGTAGGGTTGAGGTAAAAAGAATCCTTCACAAAAGTTCGTTTTACGTAGAAGTTTTTTGGTTTTGTGATTTTATTGGACATTTTTATACCTATCTGTGAAAAGTATTCATTAAATTTATTAGATATTTCCTGTTTGTCACAAATAAGATTATCATTATGGATCATTTCTTTGATTTCCGTTTTTGGACGTTGTTTATTAGTGAATTTATTCACGACCTCCCAAATTGTTTTGCTATCTTTAACGTTTTTTATTTGGTTCGCAAAATACTCATTTTTTACTCTTTTTATTAGACCTCGAAGATATTGTCGATATGTTTTATATTCATGTTCGATTTGGGTGTTACAAGGGTTCGTTAAAAATGTTCTATAGAGATTTTATTTCTTTTGAATTGCTGTAGCTAAACCTTTTGTCATCCAGGGGTTTCTTTTTTTGTATTTGTTCTCATTAATCGTTATTTCAGTGGTAGCAAGGTTGACTGCATTACTTATTTTATTTGTAAAGTCGAGAGTAGATACTTCTATATCATCTATTTCATGAAATGATTTCCAAGATATATTTTTGATAAGATCAAGAAATATATTTTCATTAAATTTTTTAACTGTTTGTCGTTTTTTAGGTTCTTAAGCACATTCTGAACCATCTAAATCAATAGTGGCGATAACTGGAAAATGATCTGTGATGTCATTTCCAACAACAAAGGATTTGGTGTCATTATAATGATATGTTTTGTAGAAGATATGATCTAAGCAGGTTTTTGATTTTTTTTGTACCCTAGTGTAAGTGTTAAGCAGTGACGTGAATCCATCTTCACTCAAAATGTCTAAATAGTTATCACAATGATCTTCATCTGATTTAATATCAATGTTGATGTCTCCAACAATAAATTGTATATTCCCTCCATCAGCCTGAGGTTTGATTAAATAATCCTGTAAATGAATATTGAATTCTTCTGGTGAAAGGGATGGGGGGGGGGTGATAAATAGCGTTCAAAATAATATTTTTACCGTTTATTTTTACTAGTAATTTTATTATTCTTATTATTCCCAGATTTTGGATAGAAATCTTTGCATTACCTGAATATTTTTTTATATATAAGATGGTACCATCGTTTTGATTGATTTTTCCTTCATCATGAAACGAGTCATAACCATCTAACTCGAAGAAGGATTTATCTTGAATTTCCCAGGTCTCAGTAAAAATTATAATGTCAAAGGAGTAATGGAATTCATTGAGAAGTAAACACATCTCTTCAAAATTTTTTGATATACTTCGTATATTTACATGAAAGATTGAGAATTTATTTTGAAATATCTCTCCTTCAACCTTTATGAAGGAAGAAGGGTTTTCAATGATTTCTGTAAGTGTTTCAGGACTTTTAAAATGTCTAACAAATTGATTCACCTCAACCTGGTTATGCTATATTTTGTTGGAATAATTTTGTGACAGTGGTTAGTAGAGAAATGCCCTGATTCAAATAATATTGTAAACGGAAATTTTTAATTCTTGCTTGTTGTTTTTTTGTTTGGGCAATTTTCAAATGTTTCCTCAGTATTCTGAATGTTTGTTGGTCTTCAGGGCAAAGATCGCACACTGCAGATATTTTTGTTCCTTTTAGTTTCAGGATATTTTTACATTTTTCTTGTTTAGTTGAGTAGGTTGCAAACTCTACAAGAATACCTTGTTTATTTTTATCTTTACCTATAGGTTGGCAATTATTGATATCTGATCTCACAATCTGTATTTCAAAAAGTCTGTTCAATTCTTGCACTATTATGGAAGATAAATTTTCAGAAGGTAACTGAAGACCAAATCTAATATATAAAAATGGATGTTTGTTGGTTTGTTGGTTGGTTGGTTGGTAAGTGATATAATTCTACATCGCTCAACCGATCGTGATGAAACTTGACATGTATGAGTAATTTTTCATAGAGAAGGTTTTTAGGCTATCAATTTTTCTGTAATTCACCACTAGATGGCGCTGTAGAACAATTTTTTTTAAAGCACTGTTCTATAACGCTTCGCACGCCTAAGTTCGTTGATTCTGATTCTGTCAAAACATTGGAACAGCAGCGATGCAGCAACATAGTACTAGTATTACTATATTATTCTTCCTAGTACGACGTTCTGATTTCGGATATTTGTTCTCAATTTGGTCGACCCTATTTTCAAGTTGTACGATTTTGGTTTGGTAAAATTTATTACTTTCCTCAATCTTTTTCATTAATTTATTTGTTTGTTCTTCTTGAGATTTTATCATCAAATCATAGAATTGTTGCAAGGACATATTATCCATCATTTTCACGTAGTAAACGTTTAACTTCCCTGGTATAATGTGGCGAGCAATTTGCGACCTTATCAATTTATGGATGGTAATGTTCAGTTTAGGACGATGTTGTATTTTTAAATCTAACCCTTATGTTATTGACTGCAATGAGTAGAGATTTGAAGATTATGCAATAACGAGATGTCTCATTCACATACCCATATGATTCTTCAATCCTCTCAGTTTCTGTAGCAATTTGTGATTCTCATGAAATTTTTAAAAACAACAACTTCCACTAAATTTGCACACTATATAGACGTGAGAGACATGTGTACGTACGTGTACGTGTATTGAAGTCCAAAATAAACTTTCATTAGAATATTGCTTTCATATATGCAGATTCGCCCTTAGTATGCCTTGGTTGGATTCTAGAAAGACAAGAATGATTCCCCTGAATGAAGTTCCAAACATCACAAGCAAACTTGATAGTTTGAAACATCGAAAGAAGGTTAGGAACTTGTCTTTTTTTATATTTACTTTCATGGAAAGTGTTCGACTGATTTAGCCTACCTCATTCCACCCAGAGCAATATATATATCAGAAGTTTTCGGCACACGCATTGCTCTCAAAGCAGATTTTTCTCCAGAGCTTGTACAACTCTGTAGAAAATATCACCGAATACATTATGATGACGACGATGAAACAGTAACAATTTCTAACCATTTCCTTGCTGATTCAAATATGGATATATACAAATGGAAGTCGTGGTTCTTAGGGCTATGCAGCCGTGTTCCAATGGAGACATTGGTTCCGAACGTTTCGTCCCTAAATACGATGGGTATCTCCAGCGGTAGTAGTCAGCAATGCGTTGCAATCTCCCAGTTGGTGGATTCCCTAACCCTCCCGTGTTGAGCACCAGAAGCTAAAATCTCTATATCAATATCAGCGACCTCCTTTGATTTGAAGTCAGCCTCTAGTGTTTGACTTCTCGTTATCTGTTGTCCAATTACCTGACTGTGTAGTATTTGCATAACGGTTCCTTGTTCTTAAAGTAGGGTCCACACTATGCCGCGGTAGGCCGGGCGGGCTGACCCGGGCGGCCTAAGCCGCGTTGATGTAGACGCCCCGGGCGGCTTTGCCGGGTTAGAAAATGCCGGCCCGGGCCGTGCCGATGCCAACCCGCATAAAGTAGGTACAGATCAAAGGAAGCCGAGCCGAGCCGNACATATATAAAATTGTAATTGGCGTCCACCACAGCCATCAAAACTATGCTAAAAAATCCCTTGTAGTTAAAAAATTCCGAGCCTGAATGAAAAGGTGCTACTAAAGCGATATGTTTGCCGTCGATAGCACCGATGCAGTTTGGAAAGTTACACTTTTCCTCAAATACCTGGGCGATTTCATTCCACTCTGCTTCACTCTGAGGCAACTGAAAAATGAAAGTGAAAGAAAAATTAGTCATTTTTTCAGCGAATTTTTTCTTTGTATATTCATTTATTTTAGTATTTATATTTTCAGGAAGATGGACCACAAGACAGTCAAGAAGAATGCATTAACGATGACAGCCAAGTTGTTCATCCCCAAAATTCTGAAGACAAACAAGCATCAACGCTTTCCCCTTCAGAGGTCGCCGGAACCAAAAAACATTCAAATCTTCAAAGGCACTAAAAAGCAAATCGGCAAGACGTCGATTAGTGGATGAGGCTCTGAACGTCATGAGATCTCTTCAATCAAAAAGAGCGAACATCGATGATGAATATTCGTTGTACGGTGAACAGATAGCAATTAAACTGAGAAAGCTTTCTTCGCCCCAAACCAGGTTAGTTGTGCAGAATAAGATTAACCAATTATTATTTGAAGCTGAAATGGGATATCTTGAACATCAGCATGGGTACAATGTGCCACAAGTTAATATACGGCAAAACTCTGGACCGGCCAATCCAATGGTGCCTTCATTCCCCCAGACTTCTAACATGCCCAATCAAAAGCAACCACCATTCTTCACTGACAACATGACCAATTCAACATCTCAATGGTTTTCGACGTCTGAATATTCCTCATTACCGTCGTCAATTTCATCGTATTCGCAATCAGGATCCCCGGCATCCACTAATTCAGAACTGTCCAATATGGACCCCTTCCCTCAATAGTTTTTAACTTTGTCAATAAAAGTACTATTCTAAATTAATTTTGTTTAATTTTCCTTACCTTAATGTAGTCTTGAAGGGCCTCTACAATGGCGTCACAAACTTCAGGTACGATTTTAGAGATACATTGTTTGGAGATCTTCAAAACATACATTAGTGAGTGGTACGAATCACCAGTCGCAATGAAGCGCAGAGTGACAGCTAATCGTTCGCTTGCTGGAATAGCATCTCTATAAGAGGTATTCTTTTTTGATATTTTGGGTCCAACCTTGTTGAGTAGCATTTGAAAGTCCGATCGCTGCATTCGAAAAAAGTTGGTGAAACCAACGTCATTTCGGTATTCCAAATTCAACGGGTATTCTTCATCCAAAATTAAATATTTCATTAATTCGCTAGCCCTGTACAGCTGCCGTCCTCTCCTAAGGCTCGGGCGAATCCAAAATCTTTGACGTCTTTTTGGGGGCTGATTTAAAGCGAGTATCACCACAGCCATGGCTGACATAGCGACGTCATAGTCGGTAATCATTTTGAAAACACTAACACTTTAAGGACACTTTAAACTTCTAAAAAGTACTCTTCAACGAAGTCATCAGTCNAGTCTAGTCTATAGTCTAGTCTATAGTCTAGTCTATAGTCTAGTCTATAGTCTAGTCTATAGTCTAGTCTATAGTCTAGTCTATAGTCTAGTCTATAGTCTAGTCTATAGTCTAGTCTATAGTCTAGTCTATAGTCTAGTCTATAGTCTAGTCTATAGTCTAGTCTATAGTCTAGTCTATAGTCTAGTCTATAGTCTAGTCTATAGTCTAGTCTATAGTCTAGTCTATAGTCTAGTCTATAGTCTAGTCTATAGTCTAGCCTATAGTCTAGTCTATAGTCTAAGTTACATTCTAGTTTATATTCTAGTTTATATTCTAGTTTATATAGTCTATAGTCTAGTCTAGTATAGTCTAGTCTAGTATAGTCTAGTCTAGTATAGTCTAGTCTAGTATAGTCTAGTCTAGTTGTACACACACAGTTTTTGATTTGATTTGTTTCATATTTCTACTTGTTTTTACAATTGAAGCAGGAATTTTGAAGCCAGTGTGTTGATTTCAGGCAACAGATTTTATGTAGCCTTTCTTGAATCAGAATTTGTAGTTCTACTCAATTTTTTTCCGAGAGGTATATGGGCTCCATGTTAATCGACATAACTCTGAATATTATATCAGTCAATTTTGGGTTAAAAACAGACATAAACCTGCTTGAATGTTATATCAAACGTTACGTTATCTCAATGAGTTATAATACTAACAGCGTCAATTTAAGTAAATAGTTATAGTTCGTATCGGTATGTTGGGGCAATCTTTTTGATAATTTGTTTGTTCCCAATACGGAAAACTTGTCAAAAGTGGATTGCCAGATCATGTGATAGAAAAGTTGTCAAAATATCTGAAAAATATTAGTTCGAATCATCGAAAAATTTTCCCATCAGAAAAAGTTGATTGAACCTTATGAAGAAAAAATCACATTATTACGCCTTAGTCAAACACGAAACGGACTGGTTTAAGTTTGACGATATTCGTGTCACGAAGTGTTCTGGCAATGCGTTGAATCTATTGGAGCCTCTGGAGACACCCTACATTTTGTTTTACGAGAGAGAGGACATCAATAGATCAATATCTTCAGATGATGTGGTGCTGCAGGTTTTTCTGGGTTTTCCTGCAGCTGAAAAAGCAAATGCGCCACTGGAATCAATGAAGTCGCCCCGGAGCGCTATTTAATTTTAATTGTTGTTTCTATTTTTATCGTTGTTTTAATAGAAAAATAGTGGTTTCACCTAAAAAAAAAATAATAAAAAAAATTTCTGAATCAATATTTTTTGAATAGTTACCGAGTTGATGAAAAACATTTGATGAAATTTTCACACTGTTACCCTTTATTCAGCACTTTTCTTCCAATACCAATAGTAGGTATGTCATTGAGATTAATGAATTTTTATTTCAACGGAAGTCCAAAAGGGATTTTAATTCAATTCAAAAGGGCCAATGAATTATAGATTCGGTGATTTATATGATTTCATGAGGTAGAAGTGTTTGTTTCCTTGGAGAACCCTGCTGCTATACAATTAATTGCTTTATGAGGTGGGAACCTGGAAAATCTCCTGGAAACCTATTGTTGCATGGTCATCCTCTACAATATTTGTTCAAGAATCACCAATTTATCTCTAAACTTTGCTTTTTTCCCTGAATCCTAGCATTCGATACCCATATCATCGGGTGCTTATAAAACATCTTTATGGGTCTGCCATTTGAGTGATGTCATTCAATTTTCTGTATTTTTTTCTCTATCATCTCATAGCTATTTTTCATCTGAACTAAACGTGTGAAATTGAGCTGCATGATTGGACCCCAATAAACAAAATCTGTTGAAATTTGATTTTCTGTAAACCAGCTGGTGCTTATTTGCAAACAACAACCATCAGGAGTAGAAATTTGTGCGATCTGAGCAATAACGAGGTCTTACTTTTCAACGTGCGATTCCGATGTCGGTCGGAGTGAGGTGATAAGCGAACCAACCTTTACATAGCGGTCAATTGAATGGGTAGAATGAACCACTCACTCTAACCAACTGGGTACCGATCGACGTTTGTTTCAAAATAGATCATCGTTCAGATACGAAGTCAGAAGGAAATATTAAAAATAAACTGAACGGTGAAACAAAAAGTCCTGTCAGTTGTTTTCAAAAATCGTTGCGGTTTTTTGTGAACACAGCAAACCAAAAAAACACATAACTTGTGTTTCACATTCAATTGTTCCTATCGGCTGTTTATCATTTGATTAGCGCTGCTATTGGTAGAAACGTTTTCCCTATACATATATTCACGTGCGAAGCTTATTGTTAAATCATCTGAAAATGGAACTTTTAACGGGTGATGATCAACTGTATTGCCAAACATGCGCCGAACTGACTATTATAAGAAAATAAGTATAGCTGAGGCACCAGTCAATCTAATATTAACACTGATGATCTTCAAATATGACTCAACCTCTGATGGAAGCACCAAACTCTTACGAAGGTTCAAAATATATGAACACTTTAATTTAGAAGACCACTATTATAATCTTTATGCAGTCATTGTTCACTATGGTTCTGGCGTTGAATCTGCTCATTATTACGCATTGGTCAAAGATGAAATGCACTGGTTTAGGTTTGACAATAGCCGTGTCACTAAGTGTTCTAGCGATGTCTTGAATTTATTGGAGCCTCTGGAGACACCCTTCATTTTGTTTTTGAAAGGGAGGACATCAATAGATCAATATCTTCAGATGATGATTTTTTATTTTTTGTAATAATTAAAAATCCGTGTTTGATTTGAGATAGCGGGAAGTATTTTTCTCTATAATGTTATATCGGAGGTGCGGATGTTTATGATGTTATCATAGGTGCAGTTAACATCCCAACAACATCAATAAAAAAGTTAACACTGCTGTATACAACGTCGTTCAGTTGCTTTCCGAATTGCAAGGACGGAATCCTGGCCTGGCATGAACAACGAGTACACAAGATGTAACCCACACGGTTACTGTGTGCAGAAGCTAGAATCTCGTCTATCCACCCCCACTCATCGCAAAGTGGACCTCAATCAGCTGATGAGCCCTTCAGCAAGATTGACATCTGACCTCCTGCGGTCGAAAATCAACCTTCAGGTGCTTTCACTCTCATGATCTGTTGATTTCATTTGTCGTGACTTTACTGTGTAATGATTGCATGGTGGGGTTCCCCAAAATCTTAATGGAGACAAGTGTCTTTCGGTCGCGAACTATGTTTTTTTATGTATCTGTAAAAAAGTGTGTGTTAGTAATCTGTATATCAAGATAAAGGCTAAGATGCATTTGACGATCAAAATGCATCACATCCAATCTGTGATGGACTAGGTCGGCCAATAAGACTTTCACGCCCGCCGTCTAGATGAAGGTGCCAAAGTACGATATGCTACTAACCACCAAATAGCACTACGTCACAGCAATACGAATATTAATGTCTGCTTGAGGTCACTAGTGGGCCATGTAGAAACCCTACACCCTTCGAGAAACCTTGATTATTTCAATTCACGTGTTATGGATAATCTGTCAACCACTGACTAGGTGGAATTTTTCCGAAAATTTATTTATGAACATCTGCAGTGAAATAGACACTCCAGCCTTAGCGCAGTACGAAGCCTTCTGTAGAAAGCTTCTACAAGCTGAGCACAATGAACTGTACACCTCGTTAATCACGAAACACTTTTGTGGGTTCGAAGAACTTTGCTGCTTGAGGCGAGCTGTACACTAATTCGCCCTGCATGGCTAGAGAAAGAGCAGCAGATAGAGGGATGGATCGTTCTCATCCCTAAAATGTATATTTATCGATTCCAAAAAATAACAGGTCGATAACATATTCGAGTTTTGGGACGTTTTGCATCTTATACACAGTAATATTTATCGCTGTAACCTATTTGTTTTATATGGATGACCTTGAACTTCATACCTCTGGACAAAACGATTCTCGTTTAGATACAAAAGCATGTTGTACGTGCGGAATTCGAGATAGAAAAATGTATAAAAGTTTATCTTAAAAGAGGACGATGCAGCAATTACGGAGAGGATTTGCAGCTCGTAAACGGAAGCATTTTGTGCCATGTGAATATCGGAGACAGACTCAATTTGAGGTGAGACAAATAAAAGGCAAATATATTGAAGACCTCTCTCGCTGCGTGGCAAGAACCAGCACAAACTTCGATAGATCTGGTAATCGGATTTAAATATCTGTTTAAAATATGTTTTTCCGTTAACCAGCTTTCGCACCCCCACGAACGACAACTCTCAGAAGGCGAAACTTATGCGAGCTAAGGATTAACGAGGTCTTACATTTTAACGTGTGATTCTTAACACGGTCTGAGAAAAACGTGCTTGGTGCTTGCCGTTTAGATTTCACGTTTTGAGTTAGAAAGGTGAGGTGGGAACCTGGAAAATCTCCTGGAAACCTGTTTGTTTCTCCCCAAGCGATTACCTATTGAAATCATAATAATTATGAATTTCAGAACTCGGAGGTAACTGTGCCGAAGACTTTTTACTTTTATTCTGGTTGTAGTTTGTGGGTTCCATGGCTGATGTTTCTTCTACATCTTCGGTAGTACTTCACTTTCCCCATAGTACATCGTTCGGAGTTTGAATCTCCAGTTCCTTTAACATGGCTAGTAGGTAGGCGTATTCTCAGATATAACAGTGACTTAATTGAAATCAGAACACACTGTGTGTTATGAATATAACAGGGAATTATCAGTTCATAATGATATGAAGTTTGCTTGTTGCTGTGATTCATAATTTGGTGTTTGTAATACTTAGAAAAGTGTTCAATTATATTTTTCTGTATTTCTTCGATCAGGGTATTTCATCAAATTATACAGATTTGACAAATCTTGGATTTGTTTGTTGGAACAGGCAAGGAATGGAATTCACAAGGATATACTTTACAATACGCAACTGTTCGACGGGGAAATCCATTGTAAAATCACCAAAATGATTTGGAATTTGTCTCCTAATTTATTCG